GCCCGCCGCTGCCGCCTGGGCGCCGAGCCTTGGGGCGCCCGGGCCGGGGGGAGGCCGGAGCTGGAGGCCGGCGGGAAATGGGTAAGGGCACGCGGCGGGGTCTCCCCTCACCCCCTCGATTGTGACAGTGCTGTCACGGGTCTCGTCGAGTCGGTGAACACCTGTGGAGCTGCTGTCTGGCCGGGACGCCCAGGACAGTGGGCCTGGAGCCGGGAAGAAGCTGCGGGAGGGTCGGGAGCAAGCTGGGAACCCGACAAACCAGCCTAACCAGATGGTAGGGACTGGGGCAGCCGGATGGCTTGGCTGCGCCCCACCGGGAGAGCCAGTGCGGTGGCTTCGCTGGCTTCCGCAGCCCAGGCGGTAGGTCTGTGCTTCGAGCCCCGCTAGAGAGCAGCGAGCCCGCGAAGCTGTCAGTATCGGAACCGGGAGACATCAAGGGCTGGTGCATGGCCGGGCCAGGCCCTGCTTGAGGGGAGCTGGTGGGCTGCACCCCACAACTTTCCCCCGCCCCCGTGAGTGCACGCCCCTCTCCTCTGTTGCTCTCGGCCTGTCTGGCTAGACAGCTTCAGGCATCCTCGGGAGGTAAACAGTGTCTCTCAGCTGCTGTAGCCCACCCCTTTCTGGCTCTACGGTCAAGTCTAGCTTGTCCGTTGGGAAGGCTGAGGAGGCTGCTAGAGGTGAGCGCTGTTCCAGGCCACACCGAGGGTTTTGCTACACTGGTCAGCGTGCTCCTGGCCTCCTGTGTCTGTGACCTGTGTGTCAGGATCAGGAGGCCAGCGTCACACAAGTCTCTGCATGTGCAGGTCCACCTGCCCTTGAACCTTATTAGCTGGGCTCCTCCCTCGAGTCAGAGCTGATTGGATGTAATTAACACTTAATTGGGTGTCTGTGAGCCCCTCTATGGGGGAAACACGGCAAGGTCAAGTTCAGACAGCACGGTGTGCCGTGATTCATTCTTTTCTTCCTGACACTGCATTTCCTCTATGTGCAGGGTGTAAAGAAGAGTGATTTCTCCCTTCAGTTATTCAACAAATAGTTACCACAGTCAGGCATGCAGGCACTCGGGCCCTTGAAATACTCAGCTCTCATTTGCATATGGGTTGTAGGAGAAAAGAAGCCAATGAGAAGTTTAATCACATCCTTTCAAAGAGAGATAATTGCTGTAAAAACAAGAGCAGAAAAATGAAACAAACCAGAGAAATTGGCTCTTGAGTTGTGTGCACCCACGTGTGTGTGTTTGTGTTGCTGTAGTGGGATTTTTTTTTTTTTTTTT